AAGGTAGGGGAGGGAAAGGAAGGTATGGGAGGGAAAGGGAAGTCAGTAGAGGGAAAGGGAAGGTATAAGAGGGAAAGAGAAGGTAGGGGAGAGAAAGGGAAGGTAGGGGAGGGAAAAGGAAGGTAGGGAAGGAAAACACTTAAAGATGTTTTCCTTTCCTTTTAAATCATTTACTGGTATTTTTTGTCATGTAATTATTTTATCAATAATAATTATCAAAATTTTTTACTTATTATAATAACTATAAATTCTAATCTGCCAGAGGCTTTTTTTAAAATCCCGGAGGGAAGAGAATGCACACTAAACAAGGTTTGATTTTTCAAGGTGAACAAATTGATTAAATTTTTGCTATGAGAAATGGCATAAAATTTTCTATATTTATCAAAATTTTTATGAAAAATCAGGTAAAAAAACCTGGAAATTTTAGTTAGGAAACCTTTATATTCAGGCCACATTACTCTCGAGGGTTTCAGTTCAGCTTTTCTTAGCACAAATAAAGTCTGTGACAAAAGTTTTTAAAATTGGTGTTTTCCTTTCCTTGATCCTGTGACCCCCCCTCCCCTCCCTTCTAATGAAGATTGGCTATTGAGCAAATAAAAATCGCAATGTGAATGACTGCTTGTCTCAAACTCTAATTTTTCAATTCTTTCTTCTTTGCAACCTGATGCTGCAAGGTTTTGTTACCCTCCATTTGTGTTGTGGTGTGTCAGATTAAATAAACAAGTAGCCTTTCAACCTTTGGCTGATCAAGGATAACACACTTATTCTTTTTTCTCTACACAAACAATTGTTATTGTAGAAAACTTTGATTTCATTCATAATCGACATGAATAATCAGGATTTTTGAGGAGTAAATCTAATGTTAGCTGTGTTGAGTTTAACCCTATTCCTGCTGGGGGGAGAATATAGAGATTTATAGTTCAAGGATGAATATAGAGATATATAGTTCAAGGATGAATATAGAGGTATATAGTTTAACGATGAATATAGAGGTATATAGTTTAAGGATGAAAATAAAGGTTTATGGTTCAAGGATGAATAAAGAGGTATATAGTTCAAGGATGAATGTAGAGGTATATTGTTTAAGAATGAATATTGAGGAACATATTTCAAGGATGAATATAGAGGTATATAGTTTAAGGATGAATATAGAAAGAGGTATATTATTCAAGGATGAATATAGTGGAATATGTTTCAAGTATGAATATAGAGGACAGAGGTATATTGTTCAATGATTAATATAGAGGACAGAGGTATATTGTTCAATGATGAATATAGAGGACAGAGGTATATTGTTCAAGGATGAATATAGAGGTATATGTTCAAGGATGAATATAGAGGAATGAGGTATATTGTTCAAGGATGAATAAAGAGGAAAGAGGTATATTGTTCAAGGATGAATATATAGATGACAGAGGCATATTGTTCAAGGATGAATATAGAGGAAAGAGGTATATTGTTCAATGATGAATATAGAGGACAGAGGTATATTGTTCAAGGATGAATATAGAGTTATATGTTCAAGGATGAATATAGAGGAACGAGGTATATTGTTCAAGGATGAATAAAGAGGACAGAGGTATATTGTTCAAGGATGAATATATAGATGACAGAGGCATATTGTTCAAGGATGAATATAGAGGAAAGAGGTATATTGTTCAAGGATATATATATAGGGGACACAGGTATATTGTTCAAGGATGAATGTAGAGGAAAGAGGTATATTGTTCAATGATGAATATAGAGGACAGAGGTATATTGTTTAAGGATGAATATAGAGGTTTATGTTTCAAGGATGAATTTTGAGATATATAGTTCAAGGATGAATATAGAGAAATATAGTTCAAGGATAAATATAAAAGTTTATGTTTCAAGGATGAATATAGAAATATACAGTTTAAGGATGAATATAAAGGTTTATCGTTCAAGGATGAATATAGAGGTATATAGTTTAAGGATGAATATAGAGGTTTTTGGTTTAAGGATGAAGATAGAGGTATATATAGTTCAAGGATGAATATAGAGATTTATAGTTCAAGGATGAATATAGAGATATATAGTTCAAGGATGAATATAGAGGTATATAGTTTAACGATGAATATAGAGGTATGTAGTATAAGGATGAAAATAAAGGTTTATGGTTCAAGGATGAATAAAGAGGTATATAGTTCAAGGATGAATGTAGAGGTATATTGTTCAATGATGAATATAGAGGACAGAGGTATATTGTTCAAGAATGAATATAGAGGAAAGAGGTATATTGTTCAAGGATGAATATAGAGGACACAGGTATATTGTTCAAGGATGAATGTAGAGGAAAGAGGTATATTGTTCAATGATGAATATAGAGGACAGAGGTATATTGTTTAAGGATGAATATAGAGGTTTATGTTTCAAGGATGAATTTTGAGATATATAGTTCAAGGATGAATATAGAGAAATATAGTTCAAGGATAAATATAAAAGTTTATGTTTCAAGGATGAATATAGAAATATACAGTTTAAGGATGAATATAAAGGTTTATCGTTCAAGGATGAATATAGAGGTATATAGTTTAAGGATGAATATAGAGGTTTTTGGTTTAAGGATGAAGATAGAGGTATATATAGTTCAAGGATGAATATAGAGATATACAATTCAAGGATGAATATAGAGATTTATAGTTCAAGGATGAATATAGAGATATATAGTTCAAGGATGAATATAGAGGTATATAGTTTAAGGATGAATATAGAGGTATATAGTTTAAGGATGAATATAAAGGTTTATGGTTCAAGGATGAATATAGAGGTATATAGTTCAAGGATGAATTAGAGGTATATTGTTCAAGAATGAATATTGAGGAACATGTATCAAGAGAGAGGTATATTATTTAAGGATGAATATAGTGGAATATGTTTCAAGTATGAATATAGAGGACAGAGGTATATTGTTCAAGGATGAATATAGAGGACACAGATATGTTGTTCAAGGATGAATATAGAGGAAAGAGGTATATTGTTCAATGATGAATATAGAGGACAGAGGTATATTGTTCAAGGATGAATATAGAGGACAGAGGTATATTGTTCAAGGATGAATATAGAGGACAGAGGTATATTGTTCAAGGAAGAATATAGAGGACACAGGTATATTGTTCAAGGATGAATATAGAGGAAAGAGGTATATTGTTCAAGGATGAATATAAAAGACAGAGGTGTATTGTTCAAGGTTGAATATAGAAGAAAGAGGTATATTGTTCAAGGATGAATATAGAGGACAGGGTATATTGTTCAAGGATGAGTTTAGTGGAATATGTTTTAAGTATGAATATAGAGGACAGAGGTAATTGTTCAAGGTTGAATACAGAGGAATATATTTCAAGTATAATGGCAGAGAAATATGTTTTAACCCTATTTCTCCTCAATAACTCAAAAAGTATTGGACTGAGGCTGTTGAAATTTCTGACTTTTCCTAAATACCCAAAGCCATCTCTTTAGGCCTAAAGAGATGTCATATTTTGCAAAGAAATTTTTGCAAATTATTTGCAAACAACCTGTCAAAGCAAATTTGCACATTTTTAGTATTTCTTAATTACACATCAGTTTTTTTAATTTTGAAAAACTTTTGCATATTTAAAATGGCATGGTCAAACGCTTTACAAAAATGTATAATTCATGATTTTTTGTTGG